AGGAAAAGGTAAGAAGTGAAAAAAAGTTAACGAGTGAAAAAAAGTTAACGAGATAATGATCCGTAAAGAAAGTAATCTCTATATATTATTATCTTTGAAATCTTTATTGTTAAGATAATAATTTATTAGTTACCTTTGAGGATTTTGTATTTTGTATTCCATCGGTTGACGTAACACATCGCTTATTTGAGGGTTTCTCGCTTTCACATCTTATTGCAGTAAGGTGAGAAGCTGATTCCAAATGTCTTTGAATTGTGTGGATCGACACAAAGTTCGTCCCATCAATAAACCGTAAAGCATATTGTCGTATCAAACTTTTACAACCTTGTAATACCGCTTCTCTATTTCTTGTACAAACTTTGCAGTAAATTTCAACAACATATGTAGTTCCGCTGGTAACTTCAGTTCTAAAGCCTATTACCTCTTGAACTTTCCATTTAATAAATGTTGACAACATTACTTTGTTTCCTTTTGGAATGTCATTGATTGCGGACATTCGAAACAACAGAATCGTTTTAAATTTGAGTTAAAATAAATAATAGTTAATAAAAAACTTATACTATAAACAAAAACTAATTTAAAAAATTACTGAATCATTATTATTTATTTTTATTTTAAACGATGTATGGAATATTACAAACAATAAATCAAATAAATCTTACTTGATGTTTTCACAAGATTAAAATATTCTGCAGTTTCAATTTTCTTATAATGGTTTTCTAATTTTTTATTATTTTATTTGTGCATTTTTGTATTTGCATTAAATTTCTACATGCACATTCCATCAATGAAATTAGTGCCTATTAACGACTTCAAACTGCTCATTCATTAGGTTAGTGCAAAAAAGAACGACGTAGTGCTTTTTTTATTTTATATTATATCAGTGCTTCGATAATATAAAATCTTTATTAAAAAATCTTTTTTTCATATTTTATGAAAATAAAAAAAAAAGTTATTATTTGTTTTGCCCCGAACTCTTGGACGAGCGTTATTTTATACGCTCGTTATAAGCTGAACGAGCGTTGTTTATCGCGTCTGGAACGTTTCAAAATACCATTTACGGGCGCGTTTCACGAGCAGAGCGCGCTCGATTCATCGCAAGCCCTGTATATATATATACATATATATATATATATATATATATATATTTTTTTTTTTAATTATTTCTGAAATTTGTTTTTGAATAATTATTGTTTATAAATCGTTATTGAATAAAAAATAGTAATGATTTTTTTATTTTTAAAATTTTCTGGAGTAAACAAAAAATATTACAAAAACCCTTGTTAATTATTTAAACAGCGATTTTGTTTTGACTAGTAAAGAGTAATTTAGGTTTTTAAATATTTTTTAAATTTATGTTGCTTAACATTTTAACTTGCGTTATATAAAAAATCTAAAAAAGTTTCATGTCTGCTTTGAGCATATTTTTGATACGTAGTTTAGAACGCGTTCGCCAGGAATTAAATTCATAAATTTTTTACGTTATCGTAAAAATATTTTACATTTTAAACGAATCACAAACAAACAGAGCTCTAGAGAAAAATCATTTTTAACTATTAAATCTTTTTTTTTTGAGTCTTAGGAATTAAAAAAAAAAAATTAAATTAAATATAAAAGTCTTAATTATGCAAACTCTTTTGTTAATTATTCTTAAAACAAAAAACAAATACTTCTACACAAAACTTTATTCGTGCAAACTTAAAAAAATACTCAACTAAAATAATATAAGTATATTTAATAATTTGAATCGTATCTGTTTATAATAAATGTTCGTTAAAATTTGTTCATTAAAAATTAAGTTCCATAACTTATAAAAAAATTCAATAGTATTTTCATTCTACGTTTAATTACAAAACTCTTTTTTTTTTTCTTTTGTAAGCAATTTAACTTGGAATAGTAAAATAAAAAAAGAATAAATATCAGGTAATCTTTGATAAGAACAAATTTAATTTATTTATTGAACTATATATTTTTTTTTATTTGTACTAACTTAAATAAAATATAGTAACATGTTAAAGTATTTTAACATGACTTGTGTCATTTATAAACCGTAGGGCAGCTGTCCTTACAGCATCATTGATTTTGGATAATATTTTATTTTGATGAAGATCATATAACTTACATTTGATTTTAATACATAAGTCTTCTCTTTTTCTGTGATAGTTTCAATTAGAAAAGCATCGGCAAAGTCCCAGGATTTAAAAGTTTTCAAAGTAAATCTTTTGTTCTTCAAAATACAATCCATATTCAAACTTTAAACAATTTGGAGAGAATAGAAATATATTAGGTTTTTATATACTAGTTTGTCTTATTTTATACAGAAAAATACATAGTCATTAGTAAAAAATAGAGACTGTCATTAAACTAAAACGTGCCTTAGTATTTATTTTACGGAGTCTGTAATGTGTGCGTGCATAATGAAACCTCCATTATATAAATATGTTCAATGTAATATTAGTGTCATCAGTGGATGTTATAGTCTACTTGTGATTTCTTTACCTTAAAATATAACTTGATTTATGAAAAATGAAACTTATTGAATCACACGCACAAGAAATTTAACTAATTGTCTTTATTCAAAAATTGCGAGTAACAGGTAATTTTTTTTTCTGTGCTGGTCCCCTCCCCCTGCATAACTTAAAGGTAAAGGTACGTTTAACTAATAAGAAAAGCAATGAGTAATGATTAATGAAGTAATTTTTAGTACAATACAAATAGATTGTTCATTCATTGACACATTTTTTTTAATATCTCAAAAAAATGTCTTGATAATTTTGTTCTCCTAACAAAAATATTAGGACATTTTTTGAGATATTAAAAAAAATTTAAACTCTTAATTACAAATTTTTTGCAAATGTTTTTTAATATGAATTTAGTAAAAAAACTCTTAAAAAATCTATATTACAAAAAACATTTATACTCTGTATTAATAAATTTGGAATATAGATTTTTTTAAAGTTTTTTAGTGAAAACTTTAAAAAATTACTACTTTTTATTTAAAACATTTGCAAAAAATTTGTAGTTAAGGATTGACGAACAATTTTTTATATTTTAAAATATTTGAACAAAAAGTTTAGCGTAAAATTAATTGTTATAAAAAGGTAAGATATATCGCGAAAAAACAGCTCTAGGCATACATAAAAATCGCTTAAGGTGTACGTAAATCGCTCTAGGCGTAACGCTTTAAAACAAGGCCTGCAAAGTAATATTGCTCAAATTAATATAGGACGTATAATTCTATATTAAAATTATAAAAATAAAATAATATATAAATAAAATATTAATATGTAATATATTAATATTTTAATTGTATATATAAATAATAAATAAACAAAATTAGGTAACCTAATTTTGCATAACAAAACATGAAATTTATTTTAATAACACAATCAATTTTTTACACATCACTTTATGACTTTTTTTCTAAAAGCCTGTATGCTCTAAATTAGACCTGAATAAAACTATGGTCATGAATAAATATAGTTTTTAATAAAGGAAACGTTTGTTTGTTCAAAAGCATGTTTTGTTTATTTACAAAAGATTTATATTTAATAATAACAATACAATTTTACATAATTTTATATATCAAGAATAACACTACATTAGAAAAACATTAAAGTTACAAAAGTACAAACAGGAAATTTTTTTGGATATCAATGATTTAAAATGCACAGCAATTATTTCATTACATCTTCATTGCATTTTGATTGGATTAATTTCTTACCTGGTGTTGATGGTAACTTTTATTACAAGCCTCTTGAGCTTCCTCCGACGTAAGATCAATTGGTGATATCATTAATCTGCCTCTGGATTTAGCTTACCTCAATATATTTAATTTTTTTATGACAAAAAATTGTGCAGATTAAAACCTAGGAATGTAAAGACCATAAAAAGTAAGCATCACCCGGCTAAATGCCTATTTTTTAAGTAGACCATCTTCCACACCACACCATCTTCATCTTCCACACCACTTTCAAAAAAAATCTGATCAGCAATCCTTAAACAATGTTTATTAAATCTTGAAATCATTAAGTATAAGATGTTTAATAATTTTCAGATTTTTCAACTTTTAAAAGTGTATTCTTGAGTCTTAATACAAGGAGAGGGGGAGGGGGACATTTATTATTTTCATAAAATTTTTTCCACCCACCCTAAGCTTATCAAGACTTCCTCTCTCTCTTCTTTTAATTATACTAATTACGGATATAAATGTCAACTAAATGTGAATGAAAATGAGAAATAACTTTTAAAACAAAACTTAAGTTACAAACCTAACTTTTGTTATTCCCGAATAGACAGAAGAATGGGGGTAGAGTTATTACAAATAAATCAATAGTCAATACTCAAAATTAGGAATAAAATATTTATATTGTAGAAACAATATAAACATTTTATTCCTAATTTTGAGTATTGACTATTGATTTATTGGTAATAACTCTACCCCCATTCTTCTGTAAACAAGGTTGTTAAAAAAACAATTTTCAAAAGCATTACATTTTAGACTTTTGACACAGCCCACTGTGCACTTGTAGATATACTTAATGAAACAAATGTTATAAAAATCCCCTCAAGATTTATACATAGAAATACAAAAAGGTTTTTTAGCTAAACTTTTTTTTAATTAACTTTTATTGTGTAAACAAAACATTTGTTGCAAAATTCCTTTTAAAATATTACACAATAGACTTTAACACAACAGTACAAGTAATCACAGGTACAGATATGTTATTCCATTTTTATTTTTTTTTACATTTCATATAAAATAAAAAGAATAACATACTCACCTGATCAGAAAAACAAAATCAGTTGTTTTGCCAGACAAACTTTGTGATGATTAGTCACCTCCTCTGGCAGATTGTCATGTAGACCAGAAAAGTATTGTCATATCCAGGTCTTATTTTATACACTTTGGATTGTGTTAAATATAGAAAGGTTAAACAAGATAATATTTTAGGAATGAAAAAATTTTGATAATATAAATCTTTTTTTTATTTATTTAGATACAATTCGCTACCTGTCTTTACATGATAACAAATATCTACGGTATTTTTCAGGTCATACGAAAAGGTAGGTTGTTTATTTCTCAGAGTTTTATATATGTTACAAAGTTACTTTCTTCATAATAGACTATTTAAGTGGAGTAGATTCTGTTCATTAGAGCTGAGAATTTTACTATTTTTTGTTCTTGATCTTGATTAATACTCTAAAATATTTATTAGTTTTGTAAAAGAAAAATGTCGCCATTATATCTGCTTTATAGACCTTACAGTCTATATAAAGTGAGCACTTTTAAGAAATAAAAATTATCATATTTTTCTTAAAGGGGAGGGGTTCATGTAACATTTACAAGATCTTTTTTATACAGTGTTGTTGCACTAAACATGTCTCCTGTTGATGACTCGTTTATATCAGGATCTTTGGATCGAACAATACGTTTATGGGATCTAAGGTCTAATAGCTGTCAGGTAATATTTATTTTATTTTGTTCTAAAAAGAATTTGATTGTTATATAAATAGTGGCTTACACCAAAGCCAGAACAAAAAATGTTTTGTTTTCATTATTGAAACAAGAACTGAAAATAGATAAAAACTGACACTAGAATCAGTAAAAAAAATTTATTTGTTTATTAGTTCGCACAGTATTATTTTCACGTATCTATAAAATTGTTTATTGGTAATGTCTGATCAAGCTAACTTTAAACAAAGTCTAAAGAAAAATTTTTTTAAATTGGAACTTACATTTATAGAATTTTTTGTTTAAAGGTTTCAAAAAAAATTACAACTTAAAAAGTTTCTTTCCCAAAAAAATGTTTTATTGTTGCCATTATTTATCATAAATTTATTTTGCAAAGATTACACTTTTTTGTTTTGAAACTTTCTCGTTTAAAATTTAAGTAAGCAGTTTTAAAACAAAGCAAAAATGTAAGTAAGCAATTTTTAATAATAAAATAAATAACAATACTTTAAAACTTAATATCCCTTATTTTTATTAGTAGAAAGAGAATGACAGACAATTTGAGAAAAATCTAGTTTACATTGTATATAAGTTTATAGTTGTATATAATGGCAATTCATATTTTATTATTCTATGAAATTGAGCCTTCATTTTAATTTACAATTTTACCAGTTATGTAAAAAAAATTTGAGCCAAAAAAAAATATTTTTTAATACTTTATAAGGTTTCCACCTATCAGATTTAGAGCCAAATATGTAGGGTTTTACTTGGTAGGTACCTTATATGTTTTTCTAAATTATCTTTCTTATTAAATGGTTTATATTAACCCGAATATCACAGAAAAAGAAATTGTTTTTGAAAATAAGGAACCTTTGAAATAGATGACAAAACTAATTTTTTGCTCACAAAAAGGTAGGTTATTCCCCAGTTTCATATGGAAAATGTTTAGGATTTCCTAATAAATTGTTTCCAGAAACAGAACAAACTAGAACTTACAACTTTTTTTATAATAGTGTCAAATAAAATATTTAAGAAATTATTTTGATTTATGATGGCAACCTGTCCTGGACACAAACTTTAATAGCTTAATAATATTTCCTTATTTTGGTTCTTTTTAAAAATAAAAGACTCTTCGTGAACTTACTACAAAGTGGGTGAAAGGGGTGTGATATTAGTATGGTTGCTTCTATGGTTTTTAGAATTGTTGCTTCACCTGACAATTTATAACATTTTTTTTTTTAACTGTCAGTAAATGTTTTAGTAGAAAAGCAAATAATGCAAGAAATAATTAAATGACATTTAATATCAAAGTTATATTTACAACCTAAAATTTTGCTATCAAACAAACTGTATCAAAGATACTATGGGATTGCTTTTATGCTATTTGCAAATTCCTTAGTTTTTTCCCCATAGAGATTTTCTCTTATTAAGTAGCAAGTAGCAAGGTCATAATTATCATCTTAATTGTAAGCATTGCTTGCAAAGTTTGTTATAATTTCAACAGAGCTGTTGAATACATCTGCACAGTTGGTGAGAAAATTAGAGAAAACTGTAAACTGGTCAACATACACCTATAGTGGTGCTAGACAGTTTATTATTAATTTGGTGAGCTTTAATAAACTAAATATGTTTTTAACCATAAGTTTTCTCTTACTAATTATGTGAGATTTTAAAGCTAAAAATCAAGAGCGTTTGACAAAACATCTGAATGTCTGAACATTTCAGGAAAAGTTAATTGGTTAACCAAGGTTACAAGTAACCTTGGTTCCTTGGTTAAGTCTACAATTTATTACATGTTAAGTACTAATTTTGAACATTTCTCTACATCATATGAATCTCAATGTACACATTTTTTTATGATTGAAAATCATAAAAAAAAATGCGAAAAGAATTATTTCAAACCACAGGTTTCATTAACTTTGGGACACAAAACTGTTACCCAATTTGAACAGCAGAGATAAAGTGGATTGACTACCCATATTATTGACAAAATAAGATATTGAAAAACTTATGTCAGTCCCAAAAATAGGGGCACTGAATAGAGGCACTGGTGAACAAATAAGTTATGCAACAGAACAAGCTAGACAAAATTGTTGCACTCTGTTTTGATACTACTTCAAGCAACACAGATATACATTCAAGTGCTTGTACCAAACTGGAAAAATTAATTAGAGAGCTTTTATTATACACAGCCTGTCAACACTATGTTTGTGAAGTAATTTTTACCTATGTTAATAACATAACCTCTGGACTATCTTCTGGTCCAGAGATTATGTTATTGCAACGATTTAGGAAAAAATTTCTCCAGGCCAAGACAGAATAACTTTTCAGAAGTTTTGAGAAGTGCGTTTTGGTATCATCTTTTTTCTCTGCAATAGAAAGATCTTGGTCTAGAAGAGCAAGTGGAACAAAGGTCTTATCTAGGTACTTATGTTTATTCTAATAAAACAATTCGGATAATGATGCCACACTAATTTAAATTATTTAATATTCAATATTTCGAATCTTGATAATAGAATAAAATTATAAAATGTACATGGGGCACGATAATAGAATAAAATTATAAAATGTACATGGGGCATGTATTGAGTCTGAATTAAAAAAACTTAGTTCATAAGATTTTTTGATAGTTCTTTGTAAACATTTTTGGGAAAAATTTGTTCGATAAGTGTAAAAATGTAAGTAAGTTTTGAAGGTTCTTTGTAATCTCTTCTAAGAAAAATGTGTTGGTTATGTTTGAAAAAAAATGTCACCTTACATAATTTTTCAGTTTTAATGGTCTGAAGTTCTTTCTTAGAAAGAAAGAAATCCAAAAGAGATTACAAAGCACCATCAAAACTGACTCTAATGTACATTCTTACACCAACACATTTTCCCCGAAAAAGTTTACAAAAAAAAAGTTTTACTTTTAGTGTTATTTAAGTTTAGAAGCGTTTAATTAAGTTTCGAGAGAGTTTTTTCCAGTGTTTAGTTTTTTTTTCAGAAATGTTTGAGATGTATTTCATAAATATTAAATGTCTCCTGCAAGCCAGCTCTAGTAAAATTGTTTTTTGTTTATGACTAAACCTGTTATTGGTACTAAAAATATGCAAATTGCTTTTTGATTTTTTACAATTTGTCATGTGTTCAATCATTTTTTGAGTTTTTACAGTTTGTTATGTGTTCAATCATTTTTCCATCAAAAACCTTTAGGTAAAAAAATTCTGCTTTTATTATTTTTAAAATGGTTCAACATTTTGTTGAATAAATTTCTTTTGAGCTTTCTAAATAGTTAATTTAAACAATTAGAGGCCAGCCACATCTCCATCAGAGTCTATGACTAAACCTATACATTTTATGCACAGGTTTAGACATGGGTTTAGGCTATGCATTAAATCTTTGATAAGATATCTTTATATACTGATGTCATAGCAATATCTTTATCAAAAATCTTTGCAAACTCTGTAAAAAAAAATATTTTTAAATAGTCAGGTGATGTTATTTTGTGTGCGTTTTCTGATCTTAAAATAACCATAGGAATAACTCATCACCTCCTCTCATTTCACGGTAAGTTTATTAAAAATATTTGTTCTAAAAACACAACGAAAATAAATGATAGATTACAAATTTCATTTAAAAAATATTTTGTCATTAGGTTTCTTTTTAAAGTTTAAAAAAATTTGAAAATTACATAAATTTTTTAGGTGAAATAGTAAAAATAATTAATAATAATTTGTTTTTATATAAACGCTTACTAAGAAGGGTGTAATAACTAATACTATTAAAAATTACTGTTGAAATCGAAATTTGGTTCTTAAAAAAGATTATATTTCCTTATATATTACTTAAAACAATCTTAAACTTAACATAATATTTTGTTTGTTTATCACAATTTACTTATTTTTTATGTATTTAATGTAATATTTTAAATAAAGATAATAAACAATTTATAGATAAATTTTATCAGTTACCAATAAGGTATTTTATTTATGAGCATACAATACGTAAATGTATTTTATGTTTATAAATAAGTTAATGTCAAAAAAAACTTTGCACCATATTGGATTAGTAAGAAACAAAATATTTTAAATACATTTGTGAAAAGAATTCTCTTAAACAAAAACACTTCCTCTTTTTTTAGAAGAAAAAAAAAGTTTTTCATTTGCTTTTCAAATAATTTAATCTGTAATGGAGTTTTATGCAATGAATTTGTTAACAGATGATAAAAAATAATTGTATAATAAATATTGAAAAACATTTTTACATTCCTTTGTAAACTAAATTTAAATTTTTAAAATTAAATTAAATTTAAAGTCTTTTAATTAAAAAAAATAATTATTATGTTCACTAACACCCTTCTATAGTAGAACACTTTCTTTTCAGTTTGAAATTTAAATCAATATATAAAGTTGTGGTTAACATATTTAAAAAAAGTTTATATAATTGTAAATTCTATTTTTGTATTCTAAAGTAATTTTTTCTTTAATTAATTTTATTTCATCAACAGGGTATAATGCATGTAAGTGGTAGACCTGTAACATCATTCGATCCTGAAGGGTTAATATTTGCAGCAGGTGTTGACTCTGAAGTAATTCGACTTTATGATATTAGAACATTTGACAAAGTAAGTTTGTTCAATAAAATTATAAATAATAACAATAATTATGAATTAACTTGAATGAAATTAGTTCAACCTGAACTATATAAAAAAAATAAAAAAATAAAACCTGATTGGATAAGATAACAAAAAAATAAAACCTGATTGGATAAGATAACAAAAAAATAAAACCTGATTGGATAAGATAACAATTTACACAACTGTTAGAAACTTTGATTTTGCTCTAATTTGATCTTTGTTTTTCTTGTGTATTTAAAACATAATATAAAATTACACGAATATATTTTTTAATATTTATTTACAGGAATTTTGTAATATTTATAGTTTTGTAGATTTATATTCTTATAAACTTGTTATGAAACAACAATTTTATAAGAATTTGACTATCGATAAATCAATATTATAATTAATGTTTTTTTTTGTAAGTTTAAAACCTTATCATAGACTATATAAATATGTAATTACTAGGTCACTGTTTCCCTGATTCTGTAATATATTAGCAGTTAATCATAATAATAAAAATAAATTTTTTTTATGCGCAAATTTAATTAATTAGTTAAGAAATCATCATCAGGTGACATTTTAATATCACTTAAGACATTAAAAAAAAAAATCAAAAAATTCACTTCACAAAGTAAATAATTATTTTATTACAAATATATATTAAATTATATATTTGTATAATTTCAAGTGAATGTAATTAATCTTAATTCTGAAAAAAATTATTTTTTAAACAGCTTTTATATTATTGATCTCAATATAAATGAGATTTATATTTGTGAATGATTACTGGAAAAATGAACACCCCTAAATTTATTTAATGAATTTATGTGTATAAATATTCTCATAGTAGCTGAAATACACATAGACATAAGAAAATATATTGGATGGATTTTTTTAGGATATTTTTCGAAAAAATATTTTCAGGAATTTAAAACATGAAATATTCAAAATAAATATTATTATTTTTAACCATGAAGCATTGTTTTTATGGTTAAAAAAGTAATTTTGACTATTCCAAAATTACTTCTTTTACTGAAGAAAGTTACTTTTACACTTGGAATTTTTTTTGAGATTTTCTATATTTTATTTATTTTTATCAGCCTCTTTTATTATATATCAGAACCTTGTTTTCAATGTTGTAGCGTTTGTTAGTTTTATGACCAAATTTACATTGTTTTTTTCTCTTCGTCTTTTTTTATTTCATTTTTCTTGTCATGTCAGCTACCAGTAAAAAAAGTGGAATAATTTCAAATAAAATTTTCGGTTCTAAAATGTTCATTGATAGATAAAAGTCAACAAACAATAAATTTAAGATTTTGTTAAAGTTCAAAATTAAAATAATTTTTGCATGCACATTAAATAAAGCAGAGAACATTCCGTCAAGTCTTTAATAATTTTTTTGGTAAAATGTTTGATTAAAAATTTTAAAATTATTTTGCAGTTTTTTTAGTAATGATTATTATGAAGAATTGTAAAAAATAATCAAGTTAATGAGTTCACTATTCATATCTACTTATAAAAAGTATAAAATGTCAGTCCTTTTAAAAAATAACTGACATAAATTATTGTACTTTTATGCTTTTTGAAATATATGTGGCTATGAAAATAGCCATTTTAGTAGGTTCAAGTCATCTCACTTTCTCTTTAATGTTCTTGTTCCAAAATAGAGGGTGCTTTTTAATTGATGTTCTTTATATATCAATTTAGTTTGACTTTTTAAAATCTTTTCAGGTTATCTTTTGCAATGTAAAATCTACGAACTTGTATATTAAGTGTTAGATGATCATGCATATTATTAAGCAGCAAGCAAATACATTAAACACTGCTCAAGATACAACTTAGACATGTTAGAACTAAAACCAATTGTAAAAATAGAGGTACTAAAAACATTCCCAATAAGTCATAATAGAATTTTTGTTTAGTAATGCAGTGGGATACACGCTTAAACGTTATATCATTGATAAAAGAGATACCAGTCAGATAAAAAAAGACAAGATTAGCTACTTCAAAACATAAAAGAAAAGTACAATTTTCGCTAAGTTTTAAAAAGAAATTGTTTTTCCAGAAAATATTTTGTAGAATCAGTGGTACCAAATTTCATCATTTCCAGTCAAATGTTTTCATTTTCTTACTTTTAATATTTAAAACCTGGCTTCACATTTTAGATGGCATACAAAAAAAAAAAAAAAAAAAAAGGAATACAAAATAAGAAATCACTAAACTCATATGATAGCAGTAAAAAATAATTATGTTTTAATGCTATCAAGTGTATGTTTGTTTTTTGTTTGTTTTTAAAAAAAAAGAGTTGTTGTTCACACCATTTCGATTAAAAACTTTCAGTTGAATAATTTAATTTGATAAGTATAACGATTCATTCAAAACTTATAATTGGATTAAAGTTAAGTGGGCAAAGTTAAATTCTACAAATACACAAAAGTTTTAACTATTATGACATACTTTAATTTTACTAATTAAAAATCACTAAAACAAAGTACTAATTTTGAGGTTTATGTTTGTAGCTATTTATTTTTATATTACGCCTGAATAATTTCTGTAACCGTTTGATCACTAATTAAGTTAGGAAAACTTGATTCTGATTATAGAAACTTTAAACTTGTTATATCACTGCAATATCATGCTCGCATCAATTTATAAGATAAATTTAGGTTATTATTTGCATTTTAAATTCTATCACATTAACCATGAAAAGTTGTATAACCCACAGAAGTTTAGTTTACCTGGTGCAATCAATATAGTGTGAACACCAAATTGGATCACCAAGAAAATTTTTTTGCAAAAAAGCTTTGATTTGGTGGTGCAAATGCATTTTTTAACAGGCAGCTTTAAAAACCTCTAAAAATTGAGAAAGGAATATGATGTAGTATTTTCTAAGAGAGAAGAAGATAATCAGATAACCATCAGTAAGATATATGGTGTTACTCTAACAAGACTAGAAAAAAAGCCATGATCTTATATAGAAAGTAGAAAAAGTGAGTGTATTGGAGAAGGTTTATCAGAGAAATACCCATACCTAGTAAAAAAACAACTCCGGTCACATACTAATAATAACATTGCTTCAATTTAGTTCTCAATCAAATAAGTTTTAAAAAAATGAAAATAAATATTTGTCTTAAATTTATTTTTATAATGATTATTGGTTAAATTGACATATAATATATTTTTAGTATAAACAGTATGTTCTATTTTGTAAAAATTAAATTTAAAAAAAAAGGGGTAGTCGTGTATAAATTAATTTATTAACATTATAACAGGGTTGCCACTCAACTTGGAAAACATTTTTAAAACTTGTGAAAAATATGTTTTATTTATTTATTTGCTGTAAACTGTTTACTAAAGTATGAGTGGCAACCATGTATTAGTTCTATAGGGTTGTCTATAATTATATCTTTTTTTACTAAGAAATAATTTATAATACAACTATTTTTACTTTTTTATTAAGGGTCCATTTGCAACATTTAATCTACCCTTAGCTGACGCTGGTATAGAGTTAACAGCTATAAAGTTTAGTAATGATGGAAAAAAGTTTATTGTTCCTACAACAAATGGCTCTGTCTACTTATTAGATGCATTTCAAGGAAATCTATTGCATACATTTTCTGTATGTATTTGTTAATCTGTTGAATTACAGGGTTTGTAGTTCTTAACTATATCAAGTTACTTATATGTTTTATTATAAATTTGTATATATATATAGTTTTACATGTTTAATGTTAAAAAAAAAAAGAAATTATTTCTATCAATCAATGCTGATTTTAAAAAGTTATTAGATTATATTTTAAAATTTAAAAATAGTATACTTTTATTTATTAATATATTAATGTTTTATAATTTAATAAGTACTATTTGCATTAACACTTTTTGTAAGTAAAGATAGTTTTACTCGGATAAAAATATTCTTTAGATAAAAAATATAACTCAGATAAAAAGTATTAAATTTAATAAATTTCTCCTAAAATAAAGTTCTTCATTTTAACTCTTTACATTTAGGGTTTATCTCAAGGCAGCACTGCGCCAACATTTTTAGAAGCTTCTTTTTCTCCTGACTCACAATATGTCCTTTCCGGTATTTTTAAATATCTTGAATAATATAATATTTTTATATTTTAAGTGATATTTAGTTTTAGTTAGGTCATGCCTTTGAAGCACAATGAAATTTTCAAATATACACTTACAAAATGTAGATATTATTGGATAAATAAAATTGTGTTGGCTTTAGGATAGACTAAATCATTTTGGCCAAAGGGTTAAACAAAGCGATAGTTAACCTTTGGATATTTCCAATGACAACTGTTACATTTTACTGCACAAAACACTTTATACTTAAGTATAATCAATCAATCAATATATTTCGGAAATAGTTGGTTACATTTTAAGGTTGTTTACAAATAGTAATATAACTAACATTAAGTAAACCCCTTATGAAAATGATTAAAATAATAATGGTTATAATAGTAAAAATAATATTTATAACAATAATAACAATGATAATAGCATGTTTTTTTTTTCAATAGTAATAATAATAATAATAAAGTAAATATAATAATTTAAATAAATCGGTATTACTTACTTTACAAAAATCGTTTATACATACGTAGTTACAGTTACAAACAGTAATAAACTGACAAAACTTAACAACTAACAAATGACATAAAAACGACAATTGTTAAAAAATTATAAAGATTTAGTAAATATATTAATCATTCGCTGTAACTACTTTCGTACTAACCACAAAACATCTTAACATTCAGTTCTTATAATATAATAACCAAAATTATAATATAATAAAATATTATGACCAAAAAAATAAATAAATTATTAACAGAAAAACACTAAGAAAATCAAAACAATGCAAAAGTTACAACAAACAAAACAAAAAATTACGTAAAGTATTTTTGGCAAAAAAACAACAACATAAAAGTAAAAACAATTAAGAAAAAATAATAAATAATAATACACGGTAGAATAAAACATATATAATAAATGGCTAAAATGAGAATAAAAACAAATAATATATAACAATACAAAATTTATATATCACTATTTAAAAAGAAATGATAATTAAAAAATAAAACAATAATGACTAACAAAAAATAATAAGTAAAACTTTATACGCTCAAAAACTAAAGGAAAAAAAAAATTATTACTACAAGATCGCATAACTGCATAGCTAAAAAATAAATCGTAAGTAAATTGTCCTAGAAATATATGAAAGAAAACTAAAGAAATATTTGAAAAAAAAAATCATTGTTTGTCGATCTTTTTCCATTGCTTTTTTCCAATGTTTAAATAGTTATTTTTTTCTTTCTTTTCTATTTTTTTTATTTATTTCATTCATTAACTTTTTTTTTAACTTCTATTTTCTATACTTTTTTACTTATTTTCTTTCAAATATTTTTTTTCTTCTTTTGAAACATTTATATTTCTTTTTAGTTGATTGTACTTTTCATTTAATTTAAAATGTTTTCTTTTCCTTTTTTTTTTTTTTTTCCTCTTTTAAAAAGTTATTTTTAACGGTTCAATAATTAATAATAACTAGCAAAAAGTAACCAGTAATACGGGTTATGGTCGGTCTGTTTTATAGTGGCTGTTTTCCACAATTTAAAGTTGCGAATTCTTAACTAATACCCTTTTAGAAAAACGCCTTTAAATTGAACAAATTTGTCTCTCGGTAAAATTAATATAATAAGTATGAGGAGGTAAAATAATTTACCAATTATTATTTAACACATTGGAGTAATTTACAACTGACAGGTCATATCAGTGTAAGGAAGAACCATTTTTATCGACATTTCCAATTTCAACACAAAATAATAACACTTCGCCATTCTTTTTAAATATCAACTAAATTCTTGTAATATTTAGGAGTTATTAACTTTTGGTATCCCCTCTCAGGTTAAATTTTTTTTAAATGCACTTAACTAAATAAATTTATTAAAAATAACTAAGTTTATTATAAATAACTAAGCAATTGAGTACAAATACGTTTAAAAAAAATATATGATAATTTACAATCAAACATGTGTATAACAAATTTAAAAAAAAAATGTTAACTTTGATCTTTTACATTGCGTCATACGACAAACCTAAAATAAAAATTGTAACAGATAAGTAGGTATAAAAAAGGCATGAAAAAAAAAGTAGACATAAAAAAGGAAAAAAATGACTGGAAAACAATTTACCTGCTTTTGGTAACCTGTTACCATACTTTAGTTACTGTCATGATGCAACAGTTTTTGTCGGTGTTGTTTTATGACGTTATTTAATTTTGGCTTTCAGTCAACTTTAGTTTAATTTAGAAGATATCACAATATATTTAAAATATTTTAATTAAAAAGCAAAATAAATCATTTAAGATAAAAAATCAAATTGAGATGTAAATTAATTGCATTTATATAGCTAAATATATTGTCTTGGTTTATAGTAAATTTTAAAAGCAGCAAGTGCAATATGTTATTTTTAACAATTGAATGTAGCATCATTATACTATGATAATTGGATAATGAATCAATTTAACTGTATTTTGAGTTAACTGTATTAAGACTAAAACAAATCAAATATACAACAGAATATATTATTTAAAAAAAATACAAATTAAAAACAAAAAAAATTACAAATTTGAACAAAAAAATTACAATAAAAAAAAAAAATAAAAAAATAAAAAATCACAGAAGAAAAAGCAGCAACAAAAAAGTTATAAATATCATAACTGATAGAAGTTATTTATAACCCTTTTGTTACTGTTTGATCTTCGATGTCTCCCAACACCCCGGTATTAATAAGCCCTCCATTAGAAGGAGGGCTCATCCATACCACCATTTGAACACCATTTATTGAAGGACCTCTCTGAGAGAGGCCCTGGGTGTTAGGAGTGATATTTTTTGTACATTTCGAATGTTAATTGATCTAAAATAAAAAATAGAAGAATATAATAAGTTATAAATATTTGAAATTTTATTTAATCAAAATATAAAGCATAACCTCGCCATTTTCAATAGTAACAGAAGACGAAGCTTAAAACATTAAAAAAAAGATGAGTAAATTAAAAAAAGTTAAACATGTAAAAAAATTTATTTTAATAAAGATATAAGTAAAACAGGAACAGTTAAAAATGTCATATTTATTAAAAATTATAAAAACTTGCAATTTTATTTAATATAAATATAATCCATAACTCACCAGTTTCATTGGTGACAGAAGACGATGCTCAAACATTTAAAAAAAAAAAAAAATAATTAAAAAGGGTTAAACGTGAAAAATTTTATTTTAATAAAAATATAAGTAAAATAGGAACAGTTAAAAAATATCATATTAATTAACTCTTTCACATATTTCTCCATACAAAAGTAAGGTACCACCCAATGGTTATCTAGATTGTTGCCTTTAATATTGATAACCAACCAATTATCACGATGCCTATATCGTGGATAACCGTTGTGAACGGCTACTGTGTAGTCACTAAATTCTTTAGGATAATTTTTGCTGCACACCCCATCTTTCATGCAAGGAGAATTAGGATTCAGTATCCCAAACCCATTTAGGATACTGAATCCTAATTTTCATTGCAGGGAGCATGAAAGATGGGGTGTGCTGCAAAAATTTTAATAATATCATAAAGTTTTAATAATATCATAAAGTTCAGGATTAACAATTGGATCTGGAATTTCTGCACATATTAAATTATTGATATCCTGTGCTGTTTCAAGTTTATCATCATTGGCTAAATGAAGTAAAATGTGGGCATGCGGCAAACCACGCTTTTGAAACACAATAACCTGAACATGCGTTACAACTTTGCCTAATACACCATGTTTGAATATATCATTAAGGAGGTTATTTAACTTGAGTTTAAATGCTCTAGTAACCAAATCAGGTCTATCATTCGCAGTCTGACCCTGATATAAATTTTCTGTTATTTCACGCCATTTTGGGTTGCAAGTAAAAGTAATAAAAAGATCTGGTTTACCATACTTTTTAATAATTGCCATAACATCTTCAAAGTTTTCTTTCAAAGCTCTAGGAGTTCCTACATAAGATGACAGCAAAAGTTGGCTGACATACTTGTTACAATTTTTAAAGGATGACCTCTTGTGTAAATAACAACTTCCCTGGAAGTTAGTGAAACACCATCTTCACCAACAAATACAACAGCAACTTCATCATGTGAAGGTAGATTATAGCGACGTCTATCACCCCCTTCAAGTAAAGACATTTTTACAACTGAGACTGAGCGACCTTCTATTGCTGCTTGACAAACTTCTTTATCTTCTACTTCAGTCATATTTTTAAATGCAAGAGCAAACCCACTTTGTTCGTTATACAACAATATTGTGAGTTTTTTATAAAAACATTTTTATAAATATATCCGTTAAAAGATGTTTAAACAAAAAATAAACTTATAAATATAATGTAAATAAAAAAATTAACCAATGGTAATAAAAAATAATAATAATAAAAATTTTAATGATAAAGGGTACTGTTAATACAAAAAATAGAAGACAAAAAAAATAATAAAAAGTAAAGTATTTGTAAACCCCTTTTAGTAAACTTCAATATTATTTCTATAAAAAAATTGTATAAGAAACATGCAAATAATTTAACCTTCACAAACAATGACTGTTCAAAAGTTGTAGTTTAATTTATTTTTCTAAATTCTAAAGAAAAGAAAAAAATTTAACAGCATCACTGAAATGCCAATAATATAATAAGCAACATGACAAAGTTTATCAAAGATTACTTATCTGTTTTCTTTTTTTTATTATTATTTAATTTTTTTTTCAATATTTTATATTATTTATTACACATTAAAATCAGAAGATTGAATTTATTAAAGCTTTACATAATTTAAAAGCAGTTATAAACACTAAATTAAATTCAAAATGATCAAAAGAAATAAAATCTGCTGGAAATAAACAAATTAGTTTAGAATTATAACTTAAAAATATTACAAATATAAATGTGATTTTTGTTACAGTTAATAAACTGCTGTAGTACATTTTTTTAAACTGATTAACTGATATGGTATATATTCGAAGCAATATAATAGCCATGTATTGTGAATCAAAA